GTGATTCAAAAGTAAGCGGCATCCTTTCGGGGGCGTATTCCTTGCATAAAAATAAGACATAAAGTTCCTATTAACATGGGTCCGGAAATGCTTCCTGAAAGACGTATTTTTCTCTATAACTTTGAAACCCCTCCACAAACGGATTTTGAAAATTGGTGTATTTTATAAACATTTGATGGCAATTAAGATACTAAATTGAAATTTCAAAAATCCTAATCAGTGACGTCACATACTGGGGAAGGTGAGGGTTAAAACATTCCTATTTTTTTTTACTCGTCAGGTTTTTGCGATTCTGATTGAAAATTCAGAAAGTAGCGCAAAAACCTGACGAGTAAAAAAAAATAGGGATGTTTTCATCCTCCACAGTATGTGACACTGATTAAGATTTTCGAATTTTCAATTTAGTATCTTAATTGCCATCAAATGTTTATAAAATACACCAATTTTCAAAATCTATTTGTGAAGGGTTTCAAAGTTATACAGAAAAACACGTCTTTCAGGTGTCCTATTCGAAGGGGCGTAGCTCCCTTAGGAAGCATTTCCGGACCCATGTTAATAGGAACTTTTTGTCTTATATTTATGCAAGGAATACTCTCGAAAGGATGCTGCTTACTTTTGAATCACCCTGTAGAACAAATTTACCTTTTCAATGATACATACTTGTTTTTTGTTTTTAGTCTTTTTTGTGAAATTGTGAAAAGAATGTATATTAGCCAAGTGCTAAATAAAGGAATTATTATCAAGGTACCTGTCCCAAATATATGTTAATATTTGGTTCAGATGTTTTTGCGTTATTTAAAGCTACATCCTCAATTAATCTGGTAGCGAAGTGGCACTTCAGCACGCGTGCTGGGAAATTGATACTCATCCTCAATGGTGTCAATTTTCAGTTTGCTGTACGTATAGTACGGTCACTGTCGGTCACGGACCGTACGTTCAGTATTTTGATCTGAGTTCTCCGAGCATACATTTCTCGTTCCTTTATTTAAAAAGTGTACTCGGTGCAGGCTCATTCATGTTCGATTAATAAAATTTTGAGCCTTCTGATACAGCGTTCAACTGCTCTGTGCGCTCGCTGAACACGTGATTACAGCTTGTAGCTTGCAAGCTAGCACTTCAGAGTCGGCGTGCATGCTAGCACGGAATTGAATTGAGGATGCCAACGTTAAACAACATTATCCTGGCATGCGTGCCGAAGTGCCACTTCGCTACCAGATTGATTGAGGATGGGCCTTAGGTCTAAAATTGGATTAAGTAAGCCTCACCATTGATATAAGGCACGGGGAACAGACCTACTTCAGAGTAATGTAGATGCATTTTTAAACTTAAATAGTCTAAAAACAGCTGATTCAAATATCCACACATGGTATATTTGGAAACAGGAGCCAAAATATACTACCGATAAAACCGTACAACTTTCATATTTAATTTTTTTTCCCATCTCGTATACACTCAAAAAAATCTTGATCATAATATCAATGAACTGCTTTCATAAATTACATTTTCATTGATTCAGTGAAATTTTCATTAATCCCAGGTACAGAAAACTGTAAGTATTATGATTTCATGAACAGCTATCATTAAAATAAAGAATGAAGCTTCATCAAGTTATGAATAGTCATCTACATGAATCTATGTTGAATAGTGCATCGGTTACAAGAACTAAGTTCATTGATATTATGAAATTAAACCTTGATATTAGAGAAAATTTCTTTGATGGGAGCTTCCACGGAATATTCATAATATAAATGAATATTAACATGAATAATATGAATATGGTTCATATGACCTTACTAGAAAATTATCCGTTTAAGAACGAAATTCATTGATACAATGTACGGTTCATTTAAAACAAGCAAGTATTCCTAGAAACAAAGCTGCAACCATTACATCAAGATAAATCATAAATACAATGAAACAGTTCATAGCATTAATGTAGACAGTTCCTAAGCACATGCGCAAAGGTAGCTGCAGTCGGGCAACGACATAGAAAAATATGTTGAAATAGGAATAATTACATTTCTATTTTCTGGGTGCACTGCTACGTACTTCGTTCAAGTCGGTTTTTTCGGTTTTGTGTTGTTCGAAGTGTTAAATAGAAAGTCGATTATACCTGTCGCCGGTTTTTTCTAAAGGTAAGTTGTATACCTCTATTACCTCTATAATATGTATACCTATTATGTAGGTAGGACTTGGATGCCTTGCACGGAGACGGTCTAGTCTCAAAATGGGAATGCGAAAGAAATGACCTACAGATTTAAATGTCATCCGGGGAGAACGTGAAAGACAAAAGCGTCAAGAGCTCCTCAGAATTTCTAAGGAATACTGAAGTCTCTAAAAGTAAGTATACTCAATCCCAAATCAAGTTATAATTTTTTTAATCGATATATTTTTGTTAAATGGTTTTGTTTCACTAGGTAGAAAAGCAGAAGATTCAATACCGCAGCTAGTGTTTCATAGCCGAGGCAAGGAAACCAGCGAAAGCATCAAATCTTATTTTCTGATGTGGCTTGTTTTAGAAACTTTGGATGTTGATAGTTCAAAAACAGCTGGAACAAATATAGATATAATATATATTTATGAAAACAGGATTTAAGGAGGATTTGAAAGATAATAGAATATACGGTTAGTGTCATTTAAAATAAAAATACATAAGTAGGTACTTAGATTTTTAAATTTTCAGATTTTGGGATGCCCATTGGTTTGTTTGACAATTCTGGAAGATGATACGAAGAAACCATGCAACTTTTGCATTAAAAGCTTTTTTCCTATTGCTCATATTCATCAGTACAGGGGACACGCAAATATAAAAAATGACCCTTTACCCCATTTAAAATCATAAGTATATTTAAGGCATAATTCATGAAATTATTTTAATAAAAATAAAGAATATGGTATATATTATTGAAAACATCATTATTAAATATAATGAATGCAATTCTTAGTATTCAAGACTGTGATTCATAAATACAATGAAAGGGTTTCATCAAATTATATCTGGGCTTCATTAATATTATGCCGTCTGTTCATCAGGACAATGAAAAAGTACATATAAACTAAGAACGATGTTTATTGTTACTATGAAAAGTTTCATTAATACAAAAACCTTACTACATACCTTAATGTTCGTTGTTCATACACAAGATGAATCGAAATAGGAATTAAGAAATTGTTCATACTTCAATAACCTAAAGTTCATGTAATCAAAGAAACCGTTCTTTGGACCGATTTTAATGAATTGTTCATTAAATCTAAGAACAACTTCTTTTTATTTATGCTACTATTTGGTTGAGTGTAGCTAAAGCTGTAGGCAGGGGTCAAAAGATGAGGAAACACCCTGTACAAAAAATGTATACACAGGCAGAAAAACTTCGTTGTTATGCAACGTTCCAGGCAATAATTTGAAAATTTAAATTAAAATGGTAAATAAAATTGACAATGATTTTAGGGAAACACAATGATCCCGGTAGGTTTCTATCTCAGGTGATGTCAATGGACCTTTCTCATGCAATGAACAAGAAGGATAGTTTATTAGGATATTTGCAATAAAGAAAGAGACACATATAATGACGCGCGATACCTGTGTGGAATGACTTTGATTGGTTCCACTTGTCAAATTGTGCAATTTCGGTTATGTTTCTGTTTTTGTTTATTTTTAAACGTAAATATGACAAATATTTATTAACATTAATTAGAAAGAAAACCCACCGTTGGACAAAAATGTTTGAAGCAAACCTTTAATTGTACAATTATTATTGTATTTGATATAGAAATCGTTATTTTACGAACCCTCAAATCTCTGTCCCAATTTAAATCGTCTTCATTCGGGTTGAGAGCACGTAACTATTGTTTTCTTACAATTTGATTGCTTGGGAACTTGTGAAAAGAAAGGTTTGACTTCTTTTTCGCCTTATTCTGACAAGATCTCATACAACACATTTGGACCATTGTATCATACACAGTTTTTGTAATAATTTTCAGCAATTTGATTGATATTGATTGATTATTGAGGTTAGCTTCAATACGTCAGGGTCAGACCGCGTTCAGTAAATTGACGATTTAATTATCTGTCACCCATAAGCGGCGCGCGCAGCACAGGTAAAATGAGAAAGGTCCATTGTAATAACTCATCCTCACTTTTAATAAGATCTATTTCGGAAAGTTACTTGACAATTTTTTAAAATTTATTTAAGTAAATACAAGAAATTACAAAAGCGCAATTAAATCTGGTTTTCTGCGTGTGAAACAAATAATTTTTTCTCCAAATTTGTTCCAATTTCAAGCAGTAAAAATACAACTTTTAAGCCTGTCAAGTGTCATTGAAAAGCCGCTTTTAATGTAAGTTGGGGAAAATAGGTATTTGTTTTACTATAAAGCAGAAAAGCACAAGATTTAATGCCGCGGCTGGTGTTTCAGGAAACCAAAAAATCAGACTAGGCATTTAGTCGGATTTTCTGCCGTGTGAAACATATTATAAGGTCTGTTCTCCCGGAAATCACAAACCAGCCAGATAATTATTCATTGGTGCGAATCGCCAACAAACGTTTTCTGACTATTTCCAACCAATGAAATTTGCTCTAACTGGTTTGTGATTTCTGTGAGAACAGAGCTATGATTTATTTTTAATTGAAACACAATCTTTGTAAGATGCTCAATAATGCATGCAAAAATTCAAACCAAAACTCGATATTATTAAATTTATCATAATTATTACCTTGAAGCCTGGCAAAATGATGATTAAAACAAGAGTCTGTGCCAACAGGCAAGACTATCAGCTGTATGCAACATCCTCTTTTAACTTAAAAGCGCTTTTTAAAACTGGTACCTTTAAAAATTTGTGTGGTTTAGAATACACATTTTTAAAAGTGACCAGTTTTAAAAAGCGCTTTTAAGTTAAAAGAGGATGTTGCATACAGCTGTAAGACTTTTTCGCGATATTGGGATAGGTGTCAAATAATACTTCAAAAAAGCTAAAAGGCGATTACCCCACTATTACTTACCTCAGAAGTCATGATTTGATAATAAGCCTTATCCTTGTCTCTATTTTTCAGCTGAGCACAAAGATTGTCGATCTTCTTTTGAGCTTCGTCCCTTTCCTGTTCCCGTTCTACTGCCTGATCTTCCAGGAATTTTTGGGTGGTTTTATATTTTTTGTCGGCCACCTCGATCTATGTAAAACGAATGGATAATGGTGTGATGGACACGAAAACAATGGTACACTGATTAAAAAAAGCTGAAAACTATGATATTTGAAACTTGAGCACAAAGAAAAAGCGAAACATAACAACAAATATTTAGTTCACACATAATGGTATCCAATGATCGCAAAAATAACAACACAATAAAATTTATTACAATTAACCAACAGGTGAAAGCGGAGATACATCCTGCAAATGTTGGTTTGACCAACAAATATTTCTACTAAACTAAACAAGAATGCCTAATAAATACTCAGTTAAAATTAATTTTTGAACAGTAAAAACTGTTTTGATAATATGCGTTCCTATGCAAATAAAAACATGAATGTTTTTTTTTACTTTCAATTTTTTAATGTGTCAGCTTTGTTTAGTAATAGTATTATAGAATATTTTTGTTTGTTCCAAGAAGTACCCTAAACTTATGGTCAAACGTGCATTTTTTTCAATATAGGCGGACATAAAATGTAAAAAAAAGCCTCTAGTTTCGGAATATATACAGTGCTGTAACAAAAATAACTTCGCCAACCTTACCTGTTGCAACAAATCCCTAGATTCTTTCTTCGCCTCTTCCTTAATTTTTTCACCGACTCTACAAAGTTCCTCGATGAGTCGCAGAACGTTAGGATCTGCACTGGTTCGCGAATGTGCCAGCATTGTTCTGGCTTGTTCATGAATATCGGCGAGGGCAGTCATTGTATCGCCTAGAAAATTGGTAAAAATAGAATGTGAAAATATTATAAATCATTAACTTCTATATGAACGAACGTCAAAAACTAGAGTCTATATAAGATGTGAAACTAGTTAATATGATTTATTCAACTATAAAGAACCTCTTAAATGGAACTCGTACTCGATAGGACAAACAAAATGAAATAATGCATAAATTAAAACTGATAATAATACTTATTTGTGCACTGTATTTGTTCAGACCCAGCCTAATTTACGATAAATATTTATTATTTGCTCAATTTAGTGCTTAAGAAAATGCCGCATTGACATTCATTAAATAAGTTTCAAATATGTGAATACATCCATAGATATCTGTAAACAGACGGAATTTTGTGACATCGTTTTTAGTTTCTCTTTGTTGGCTTATTCAAAGAGATATTCCAAAAAAAAAAATATATTGAAATAATACGACGACCCTGGATTTTTTGTTTCATTTTTGATGACAATTGATTTCAATGTATTTTTTGTTTAATTTTTTTCTTCTTTAATAAGGTTTCCGGTATTAGAAAGCCCTGACTGACTTTTTTTTCCGCATTTCATGCTTATTTTCATGTTATACTAACAGGTATCGAACAAAAGAAAACAAAGCTATAGAATTGCCAGAAAGCACATGTGTCCAAATTTGGATGGTTTTAATAGGAAATGTCAATTTCTGAGCGAGATGCAAAAAAATGAACCCGCCACTCCGAGGCTTATATTTCTTAAAATTTTGAATGGTGCAAACCGCATTTTGATATCTTCAACCGTTTAGCCGCTAGAGGGCGATTCTCGATTTTGAGCTATAGCTACTACTGCTATGTGTTTGCTTGATATATCACCAGCGAATGAAAACACTGTTTTACTAATAACTCGGTTTAATTCTGGGCACTGAACATACAAATAAATCGAAATACTTTATTTTGTTAACAACAACACGATATCATAATTGCGCGGCAACAAGCTGACTAGAAGTAAACAACAACCTGGGACAGCTGTCTTCTGTCACGTCACGTCAGGCCGCCAGGGTTGTACACAATAGTTGAGCCATCCAGGGTTGAACACAACGGACTCGCGGAACAATGACGCCACAGAGCAATACTGTGAAATCTTCATAACTTTTTTGTTTATAAAAATAACTGATTTCCGTAAAAACTTCCTAGAAGCACTTTTTCAAGCAGAATTCAGTAACGTTTTCAGTTTTTTTCTAGTTGGTCCCAACTCCAAGATATTGACCAAAGTCTGGTTGTTTTCAATAGGACACTCTATATATCAATAGCTCATTAGAAAGCTCGGCTTTTTCTGATTTCAATGATAAAAGTTCGATAGGTTTATCTCTAATAGTTTTCGAGAAAAAAAATTATTTCGGCTTTTGTTATAAGAAGCTCTAACTCATTGTTTCTTATGACAAAAGCCGCAATATTTTTTCTTTCTCGAAAACTGTTAGAGATAAACCTATCGAAATTTGTATCATTGAAATCAGCAAAAGCAGAGCTTTCTAATGAACTATTAATATATAGGATGTCCCTTTCAAAAAAATCGTAATTTGGTCAATATCTTGAAATCGAGGCCGAATAGAAAAAAACTGAAAACGTCACTGAATTCTGCTTGAAAAAGTGCTTCTAGGAAGTTTTTACGGAAATCAGTTATTTTCATAAACAAAAAAGTTATGAAGATGTCACAGTATTGCTTAAAATCGAGAATCGCCCTCTAGCGGCTAAACGGTTGAAGATATCAAAATGCGATTTGCACTAATCAAAATTTCAAGAAATTTGAGCCTCGGAGTGGGGGGTTCATTTTTTTGTATCTTGCTCAGAAATTGACGTTTCCTATTAAAACCATTCAAATTCGGACACCCTGTACATATTCGGAATTTTTCAAATTTCAAAAGGGACCTCGTATCTCTTATGGTTTCCGATATCTCAATGGTCACCCTCGAATTTGGAACACCCTGTACAGGGTAATCTATTATAAATGTCACCCCCTCCTAACTTTTTCATTTGACGTTTTTGACAGAAGTGTCGAAAACAAAAGTATTGAGAAATTGTGAAAAGTTTGCAACTAAATCAGTTTTAAGCATACAGGGTGCGCAAAAAAGTGTAGCAAAGCGAAGTTATATTTTTTTTTAAATAGAAGAACATGTATATTGTGTGCTTATTTATTGGTTCCCTTTAACCTGATTCAACGATATTGAATTTTTTTTTCATTGGCTCACTCTTTATATCAAATTGATATGTACGTATTTGATTGAGAAATATTGTTTTTGTGTAGGGTCATTTTTCCACTCCCCTTAACTTTTTTTTGCCACTGTGTATAAAAAAAAAATGTCAATAAGAAAGGTGTAGTGCTTGGAAAATAGTTCTCCGGGTGTTGCAGAAAGTTTTAAAAATCATTTTTTTAAAATTAAATGGGACACTCTGTATATTTTGGTTTACAATGATAGTTTTTTTCATGCTGATTCTGAATATACCATATATGTTGATATTTGGTTCAGCTGTTTCTTCGCTATGTACGTTTAAAATTGCATTGAGCAAGCCTCACCATCGATAAAAGAAACCGTGAACAGACCTAATTTAGGGTAATGTAAATGCATTTTTAAAGTTAAATAGCGCGAATCAGCACAAAAAAAAAACTATTACTGTAAACCAAAATATACAGAGTGTCCCATTTTAAAAAAATATATATTTTTTTGTTTTTCAAACTTTCTGCAATACCCTGTACCCTGTATGAACAAAACTTTGTTTCCTTCGAGCTATTTTTCAAGCACTACACCTTTTCTATTTAAATTTTTTTTACACACAGTGGTACAAAAAAGTTAAGGGGAAGGGGGCTGGGAAATTATTAAAAATGACCCTGTATTTACATTTTTGGACTTCAAAATTTAGTACCCAATTACTTCTCAAAGAGCCAAGACCTAACATAGCAGTAACATAGTACCTATTAGAATATAAAAAAACTTGTACTTCCTTTTCCTAAAAAAAATCAAGTCCTTAATCTAAACTTACCTAGATCTTGACTGGTAGCATTTCCCCCTTCACCATATCCTACAGAAATCACCTCAGCTTGTCCATTTTCAATCAACTCCGCCATCTTGTATCTCAGTTCCTCCAAATCGCTTTCCAAAATAGTTACCTTGTTGAATAACTCATCACTCCTAGCCTCTAATACCTCTTTTTCCTTTTCCAGTGCAGCAATGATCAGGTTTGCATCAACCAGTTCTGCTTTCAATCTGGAAAAAAGGAATTGAAACATGTACATACCATTGCGATTAAAAAAAAGTAGTACAACAAAAATCTCCAAAATCTGCTGGTCTGAAAACTTAACCGTCACGTATCTGTGAAGTGAAGTTCTCAGTCTGAAAACTTCATTGTTTGAAAACTTATGAAACTTGAGTAAAACAATACCTATTTCATAGACATTTCAATTGAAATCTCAAGTAGGTATGTGTCAACTGAAACTGAAAATTTTCGAACCTCACTTAGGAGTGAGTATCTCAAATAAAAACTACTCCACAAAGATAGATATCATGTAAAAAGATAGCAAAAAGCCCAAAAAGGTAAAATTAGTGAAAAGTTGAGCATTTTAAATTTCCAAAAGAATAATAAAAATAATTATTATACCTGTCTCTATGTTGAGTCTCAAAAACCAATTGTTTAGACACCAAAGCAATTTGTTCCTCAGTAGTGGAATTATTCCCCTTAGGCAAAGCAGTTAAAGTCAGAATAGCATTGGCTTCCTGTTTCAATTTCTCCAAACACATCCCCAGTTCATTTTTAAGATCAATCGAAATATCAATAGACTCGTCGTGATGCTGGCTTTGATGCTCGATCATATTAATCAATTCTCCAAAATTTGGTGCGAAATGCACGCGGGTTTTGTTGGCTAGGCTATCAAAAACTCGACTGGAATTTGTTGTACCACCACTGGAACTGTCTTGATTCAAGTCAGCCTCTAACTGGCTCAAATTTAGGCTAGTTTCATTGTTTTGCTTAACTAAATTGTCCACTAAAGTATTATTCAGCTCATCCTCTGCTTGTGTGAAATATTGCACCAGCTCTGACAAAAGATTTCTTAAAGAAATCACTTGTTTCTTCAGGCTATCTCTCTCCTTGAGCAACTCTATTTCGCTTTTACTCGACTCGTCCTTCAAGCTACGTCTTCTAGCTCTTTCCAAAGCGCCATTTAATATCTTCAAATGGTCGTCTTTGAGCTTTGTGACTTCAATTTCGTGTTTCTCCTTCAAATCTTGTATTTCTGCTTCATATTTTGCTGTAAATCTCTCACGTAGTTCCCGAAGCTCTGAAGGCAATTCCTCCTCATCACTTTCGTTTGATACCAATCTCTGTAAAGAATCAAGAATGACTGTTTTATTTATTTATTTATAATAAACTCTACAGATTGACATCTAATTACAGAGTAGGGTAGTAGAGTAGTAGGGTAACCAAAGTGAAAATAAAATAAAAATAGAGTTATTCAACACTAAAATCTACATTCATTCCAATATTTCGTTGAGTATTGATTTGAGCCTACTTTACTGAACTGAAATTCCACATATCAAATTGCAACTGCATTTGGTTGTATAATTTACACAATAAAATAGGTGAGTGGCTTAAGTTATTAGTAAATCTATTATCAATACATATATGTATAAGCTCAACGAATTTTGTGTTCTATATGCTAGAGCACCAAAGTTAATTTGAGTTAACAAATCAGAAGCATTGATCATGTTATTGGGTATTTTATATAGAAATACGATTGCCGTAACTTCTCCTTCTTTCAAGCGTTTGTATATTATAGGTTTTCAAGATCTCTATTTTTGTATTGTTTAATTTTTCATGGTGTGTGTGTGTGTGTGTGTGTATCTGAAAAATGTATTCTGAATTTTATTTATGATTCTCCTAACACGGAATACATATTATGGAACAATATTCTAATATACTCTTCACATAATATGAGAAATACAGAGTTTTTTTATTTGACCATAGATAAATTTTGTTTAAAAATTTTGCTGGATATGCTGACAGTCATTGTGGTTGTTAACTCTTGTAGGTTTATAGTTTAAGGTCATCTGCAACCGACAACACTTCAGTATCACTAACTTCATTAACCAAATTCAAATTATTTATAAACAGAAACAGCAATGGTCCGAAGTTACAGAAAAATAATTGGAGCAGTAACACCTGACAACAGTCCGTTGTGGTCTAATAGGCAAGTATGACATCAAAAAATTTACCAGATTTTCATGAAAACCGAATTCATTGTACTGTTTTTTTAGAAGGATGCCATGCGATATTTTGTCAAGAGCCTTGACAAAATTTGTGTATATTACGTCTACCTGGCTACTTAAATCAAGGCACTCAGCAATACAAAAGGTTGAACAAAACGCTAAGTAGCTCTGCCAAAGACCCGATCATCCCCTTAAAAATAGAAGATGGTATATTATTCGGACCAATTGCTTTGTTAACTTTAAGGCTCTTTACAGCATCACAAACAGCCTCATATTTGATTTGGTCTTGGTCCAAACACAATGTATCAAAAATTTGACAGTCATACAGAACATCATGAATGTTAGAGTGTTCTGGATTGTTGGCATAAACTTATCTCTGGTATTAACTGAGTTGAAATATGCAGCAAACGCATTTGATATTGATTTGCCATCAACAAGGTGCATATCATTCAGATGCATTGTGTTTGGAACACCAACAACACTCTTCTTGTTATATTGCCAAAACGACCGTGAATGTCTTGCTGCACTTTATAAGTTATAATATACAGGGTTGTCGGTATGTATGGAAACGGCCTAATATTTCTAAACGCGCTTGAGAAAAATGTACCATATTTCCTACCTAGGGGTTTTTGGGAATGCCCGATTCAATAGTACTATTTGCAATGTTGCCAAGTTTACCGTTTCTCTGACATGTTGTATGTAATGTAACCGAGATTGTAACTTGATTTTTTCAAATGAAAGTTCGTATTTATTTTTATCCTAATTAATTCAGCGTTCCAACATTACTAAAACCCCTAAATGCCAATCCTCCTACCATAATCTGTATAACTAGTTAATGTGTGCTCATGTGCTCCTTTTATGTCCCATTTTTATCTTGGCTCTTAGTTCTATAAATTGATTGTTTCCATATTTTTCGTCCTCTTATTCCTAATTCTGAATTTCTTCTTACTTTTTATATCAGATATCGATATCATCAAAAGATTCAAGGTCATTCCAGGAAGTACCATCGTCACCAAAAGTATCTGGGACACAAATAATATCCTCGACTAATTCTACTGTCATTCATTTCAATGCATTTAATGCATAGTTTGAAAAATATTTGACAATAAAATTCATATAATAGGACAAGAGATAATGTGACGCTGTCCCAGTTACTTTTGGTGACGATGGTACATGTAACAATTGGTACAAAGCATCGAAATCAGCTTTCCTGAAGTTGGAATTTAGGGCATGACTATTCCTCGTCAATTTTTTTTTGTCTCGGGATTTCAAACTCTGTTTATCTATTTCTATCATAAGTGAAGGATGGTGTATATTCACCATAACAAAACTGAAAATACTTCCATATACCCAACACTTACTATTAGATTGTACATTTTAGATTGCGGGGGAGTCGTTTCGGCTTTTCCAGCCGCTCAGCACTGCTACCTTTGCAGATATTTTGTACATGACTCTACATCTCAAATTGTCTCCAGGAAGCGAAGACTTCTGCCGAAAGAAGCTACTTTCCTGGGTGTTTGTTGGCCCACTTCTTCTGGTGACAGTGTTGCCCCCTCGAGGAATTTGAGCCTTTTGCAGAACATTCGCAGAGCAGGTGCTCTGCAGTCTCTATTGCGTCTGAACAGAATCTGCAGAGATCGTCTTCCGCTCTGCCCATTAACCTTAAATGGTATTTTACTGGGCAGTGTCCTGTGAGCAGTCCCACCACCAATCTGATGTCTGGTCTGCTCATGTTTAGGAGCTGTTCAGCTCTTTTTGCTGAAAGGGTAATAAACCTTTTAGACTGTCTGAGTCCCAGTGTGTGCCTCTAGTATGATGACAGTTGGTCTTTCTCCCATTTATTGAGTTCTTCCATGATGCGGCTTTTCATTAAGCCACAGTAGGGCTCTGGTCCATGGTATGGTGTTGAGGCCCCTTCCTTTGTGAGGCCATCTGCTTCTTCATTACCTTCTATGCCTCGATGACCAGGCAGCCACATCAGCGTTACCTGGTTGTGCGTCGCTAGTATTTTTAGGGTCTGTTTACACTCCCAGACTAGTTTTGACGTGCATTTGAAAGCCCTTAAGGCTTTCAAGGCAGCTTGGCTGTCCGATAGTATGAAGATGTGTTTTCTTTTGAGACTTTGGCTAAGACACTCTTGTGCACATATATCTATGGCAAGCAGTTCGGCTTGAAATATTGTAAGATGTTTACCCAATGCCTTAGAGAGCTTGAAGTTAGGGCCGGAGATGCCCAGTCCAGCTCCTTCCATTAGCTTGGATCCATCTGTGTACCACAGAGATGCATTGTCTGCTTGTGGCAATTCTTTATTCTCCCATGATTGACGGTCGTTTATTACCACTGCGAATGGGATCTCTAAGTCCAATCTGACCATCATGTGGCTGCTGGCATTCTCCAGTTTTATTAAATCAAGGATTCGCAGATGTCCCCTCAGATCACCAGGCTTGAACTTGTCTATTTGGAATAGCCTGTGAGCGCTGGTTATTGCCTCCTTTTTCACACATAGATGAAGTGGGGGCATGTTGAGTAGCGTCTCTAAGGCTGCGGTGGGGCAAGTTGACATTGGTCCTGTTATTCCTAGACATATCAGCCTTTGCACCTTTCTGAGCTTGATCTGAGCAGTGACTTGTTGGGTTTTGGGCCACCACACCAATGAGGCATATGTGACCATGGGTTTTATTATAGTTTGGTAAATCCAGAATACCATCTTTGGCTTTTGCCCCCATGTTTTGCCAACAAGTTTTCGGCATGACCAAATGGCTGATGTAGCTCGAGAGCATGTTTTCTCACACTTACTATTAGTTGCAACATCAAGCAAGCGGTTATTTCCTCATTCTTCATTTGGTAGCACTTAAAAACAAAATTCAAAAACATATCTATTTGTTGATTCCTGACGTTATTTGCATAATAGTCGTCCAAATAGCTAATATTAAGATCTCCCACCAAGCTTATTCTTATCTGGTAAAAACATACAAATGATAGGCCCTCATGGCGTCGAGTAGTCCACAAAGGGTGAAGAACAGCGACGCAGACCATTGGCGTAACTAGGGGGGACCAGACCATAAAGATATTTATATATGGGGTAATTTGTTCGTTTATTTCTCAGCGTCAATCAGCATTTAGCGCTATTATGTTCTTGTAATTGATGTTTCGTTTTTTTTCTCGCTAGATGGCAGCGTCAACGACCTAGTTCGGGAATTAGCTCCAAAAGCATAATTTATTCATAATTTGTACTAATTTGTTCGTGTTCGTTCCATATTTTTTGTTAATAATATAGACTAAATTATTGCATCAATAACGTAGGACCATAAATAAATATGGATTACGATTATCAAGTTGATGCGTCTATTAGCTTAAACGAGCTTTCATGTTCGGAGCAGTAAAATGTGTTCCGAGTGACCTACCTAATATTGAATTGAAATTTAAAGTAAAACAGCGCAATGCGCATTCTTTTTCTCACCGGTGCACCCACCGATGAGAAGTCTATCTTCTTCTAGTACGTAGGAATTCGAAATTACCTACTCATAATGGTGGATAGATCGATGAAAAAAGAAAGCGCCTATTGAAATAGGAATTCTGGCATCATCGCAAATCATAACCGTCATATAACATATAACCTGATTTGGTCGGTTTTTCATTGGTTTTTCCAGTTCGTCAGTACGGACGGTTTGCGAAGTTAGTTTTGTATCATTGTGATATTACTATTACTAATATTACCATAGCTGTTACTAAAACAATAGAGTTTATGTTTATAGTTAAAGTCAAGTACATCTATATATATAAAAATCAATGCCACTTTTCGTTGTAATTTTATAACTCAAGAACGGGCTCACCTAGCCAAACCAAATGTTTAGGCTTTGTTCGGACTATTTATTAGATGGTTTATGTGAAGTTTGCACAAAATCGGTCGAGCGGTTCTTCATTTATCACATTTTTTATAATAAATGAATTATTCAATAAATGGAGGATCATTTTGTTAATGGGGATTTTGCTGTCAAATTGAAACTTTTTTCAGCGTTGACAGTACCAGCATGTTGTTATGTCATTAATGTGGCCATTTCATTACATACTTATTTTATTTATTTATGAAAAAAATTTACTAAGCCCGCATACGG